AATATTACATTTAAATATAAATTTAGTTATCAATAAAAAACAATTTCCCAAAATATAAGGCAATTTTCAGATAGATATTATATTCATCGTTTTCGGACTTGTATGCATCATGTTAAATCATTTGCGAGTGGAGGTAGTCAAAATCATTATAAATCAACTGTGTTAAACAAAGATAAAAATATTAACATTTACTTTCGTCTAACAAGTCTTGAAATTTCATTGTAAGTCTTCCAATTTCAAGTCTTGAAATTTCATTAACACCTGAGGTACAGAGATTCCAACTTGTTCCGGACAAGAATAAATATTTCAAGTGGTAGTAATTCTTAGATTAGTAAATTCGATTTATAAGATTTTTACTCACCACTACTTGTAAATAAATCAAAAGTTTGTGCAATACGCCACTTTCATACACTGCAGCCGTGTTGAAACTTTGAAAAAGTTAGCAAAATTATCCGGAGAACTGCAAATTTTATTTCGTATTTCTCTGCTGCTTTTGAAATTTTTTTGTCGAAACCGGAGCAGTTGACATCTTTGTAGATAACTCATTTTCAAACTCTAACCCGATGGATTTGAGCATATTATTTATTTTATTTAGATTTTCATCGTGGCAGCAAAATTTTTTTATTTAAAAATCTAACTATTAAATAATTTTTAAAAAAAAACATATATTATACTACCAATTTAAATTAAAGTAAATCGGTATTTTTTTATGTAATTTATGTTTACAAGAACAAATTTATATACTAAGGGAATTAGTATAGGGAAAACGCAATCAAATGATAAATTTTGGACATGTGACAAATGTTTGGAATTTCACGAATGGCAATTCTACTCACACACTGACATTCCGTAACAATGGAACCATAATTCAAAAAGATGATTGCATGGTTGCACTTACTGAGCGTCATTCCCGATTGAGAGAGAAAATGATAGATAAATGCCTGTCATATAGATGGACATACCGATGGCTCAATTTTGCACCCAAAGATGAGACACTGACATCATCATGGCTCAATTTATGCGCATTCAAAATTCTAGAATGTCGAATCTCTATGAGGAGATTGGTTTTAAAGTATAGTGATTAAATTCAAATAAGATTGAATATATCATATATTTGAAATTCTTGCTATCTTTGAAAAACAAATTTTTAGAGAAATTACGGAGAGAATTAATTGTAAATGCAAAATTCATTTTCTATAAGAAAATGCGTTACAGTAAAATAAATCATACTATTTGTAAAGAATTGAATAAAATAGAGATATTCTAAAATTGCGCAATGTTTTATTACTATGACACCCATTGTAATGTTAGTAGCTTGTTTACTACGTTAATTTGAAAATCTTTTTAAAGAAAAAATAAGAAATTTTTTTTAAAAAAAACTGGTAACACCAGCATTTTGCTTTTATACATTGTTTTGTAGAAATTTGGCAATTTAACCTAATACAGAGATGCCAACTGCTCCGGAGACACCAAAATTATTTAAAAAACGGTAAAAAAATTAAAAACTAAAATTTGCAAACAGTTTACTAATTTTGCTTACTTTTTAAAAGGTGTTGCATGACTTAACCATAAAAAAGTGGCGAATCATATAAGCCTTCGAATTATTTAGAAATGGTGGTGGACAAAAGCCCAATTAATTTAATTTATTAATCCAAGAATCACAATTAACAATCTACCACTCGAAAAAAATTATTCGCTGTCCGGATCAAGTTGCCATCTATGCTACTATAGTAAATTAATAATTTTGTTTAACATAACTGGGTCTGTTTAAAGTTTTTTTTAAAAGTATAAAGCGGTAGTTACAAAGAAAAGAAGTTGAAAACAGTAGATATAGCATTTAAGAAACCTATATTTAGTAAAACAAATATTTCCAAAACTTACGCACTTGGAAAAAATTAAAAAGTGGTAGTAAAATTAATTTAACTTTTTATATTATGTTTGTCCTTGTCGTTACCAGGATATTTTATTTTCTCTTAAAGTATATATGTTAGAAAGTGGCAGATTTAAGATAATTTCGATAGTGGAAGCTGACATTAAGAAATTTTAAGCTTTTCATACAACTAAATTGACACCAGTTATTAATTTTCCTAGGTGGATACAAACCTGCTCATTGTCGGGCAAAAAAATATTACTAAAGCAATAATAATTTTTTTTACACATTTCATACTTTATTATTATTTTTGGTATGACTCATTTTGTAAAGTTTTATTTATATTTTCTCTAACCATGCCTGTAAATTATGCGAAATGTACTAAATCCTTAATGTATTTATAACATTTTTTTCATGAGAATGACATTGGTTAAAGAGTGAAAAAAAACATTAATGAAACTGACTCATATGTAAAATTTTTTAAACGTTTGCATAAAAATACATTTATTGTTTCACTAACTTATGGTTTGCAGTTCAAATAAAATACTTAAATTATAAAATATTATTTTCTCTTATATCGTAAAAGAAAATATAAGTATTATATGATTTCATTTATGCAAGCTCCCACGCCCCTTGAAAGTATACCCCCCCTGCAGGGGGGGGGTTGTAGGGCCCACGTTGGGAAAATATAAGTTACACTTAAAAATTGCAAGTAAACTCAAACATATCCAACAAAATTTCAGTTTTGGGCGAAATATTGTTTCTAGCAAAGGTGAAATATTTAGCAGTAAAATAACTTGGTCCCTCATTAGGTCAAGATTCATGAATTTTGGCTCAGTAAGTGTTCAAAAGTCCTTTATTCTTCCGATGTTGGACCTATATAGAATTTTCCGATTTACTCGATATTTTACGGTCATTTTGCAACCAATATCGGTCCAATATAAAATTTTCTGATTCACTCGATATGTTGTATCCATTATTTAGCCAATGTAGGTTCTATGTTGAAGAAACAAATCTACCAATATTCAATTCTGAGAAAATATATCTAGATTTTCCCAATTAATTCGTAAAGTTTCCTCTATCTATATCATAAAACTAAGGGGAAAATCAACTTCTTAAAATTTCCCAACAGGCTTATGAAACATCAATCGTTACTTTTGTTTAATTTTTCTCGGCCGTGGCCTCTGACTTAAAACAATTAGGGCAAGTTTACTATCGTTCTATTATTTTCAGAAACAATGTACAAAGTCTGTAAAATATAATTCACAAATGATACCACCATTTCTGTAAAGTATAAATCACAAGTTAAACCACAATCTCTGTAATATATAAATCACAAATGAAACCGCAATCTCTGTAAAATGTAAATTACAATCTCTTTAAAATATAAAAATCACGAATAATATATTCTATTGCTAAATAAAATATGGAAAAATTTAAGGGGAGTAAGAAAAATCGTGAAGAAATCTTGACGCAAAAAAAGCGTAATATTAGGTCAAAAAGATCATAAAAATATGTAGTTTATTAGTAATAAAATAAGAGAGGTCACAAATCCAGATAAAATAAGCGGTGAACACAAAAATCACGAGCATGACTTTTGAAATACTTTTCTTAGCTTTCACCTCGCTTTCAATGCGCTAAATTATTTCGAGTTCATCCAAATGATGAGAGGCTTATGAACTAATGAAAAAGCTTATGAACTTATGATCAAAGCAAAACAGCGTGAATGCAGCACAAATAAAAGGTACAAAAATGGACTTGTGAATAAACTACAAAACAAGGTACAATTTCAATCAATTGTCAGTTCGCAATCAATTTGTCAATAGTCGTTGTCACTCTGCAGCCCAGTTTATATTGCAAAAGTATGAAATAAGCTATAATTAAAAGAGTGACAGCTCATTAATGTTTCAATTATGCAAGCTACCAACTACTACGCTTTTAGTAAAATATATTATAGAGCGGTGGACATTTAAAAAAAAATAATAATAAGCTTTTAGAATTACAAAAATAAGCTTTCAGAACATTTTAAAATCTTCAACACAAGATAGCTGAAACAAAGTGGTGGAATCAATTTAGTGGTGCGGAAAAGAAGTTAAACTTTGTGACCACTGGAAGAAATTCTAATAAAAGGCAAATACGTTAGTTTTTACTTATTTTCTTAAGCCTAATTACAGTTCGAATTTGAAGCATTATTTTTCAACAATATCGCGGTCAATAGACAAGTTCTATATCTAGAGCTGACACCTACTACGCTCTCAGAAAAATATTCCATAGGGTGGTAAAGAATTTTCAGAGATGCCAACTTGCTCCGAACAGCAAATATATATTTTAAAGAGATAATTTATCAATTGTGATTCTTGGTTTAATAAATTCAATTTAGTAGATTTTTATCCACCACTATTTCTAAATAATTCGTAGGCTTATATAATTCACCACTTTATACTACTTTATACTACTTTAGTCATGCTATACCTTTTAAAAAAGCATGCAAAATTAGTCAAATGTTTGCAAAATTTACTTTGTAGTTATTTACTGTTTCTTTAATTATTTTGACGTATCCGGAGCAGTTGGCATCTCTGAATTTTTACGGACATTTTAAAAGCCATACGAAGTGGTGTTCTACATTAAATTTTAAATCATTAAACGTAGTGATGTGGAAAATAATTTAAAAAACAAATTTGCAAAATAAATAATCATACACTATAACATAAACTTAGTTACCACAAAAAGAAATCTTCCCAAAAAGCGTAAAAAGTTGGCAGACATGTATATCTCCAAGATAAAATTAAGAATGAAATAATTGCGTCAACAGTTTTTATATTTTCCTGACAAGTTTCCTTACCAAGTGATTTTAATGGGTTTAGGGAAAGTAGCGGCTTTTGAACAAAATCAAAACAAATCTATTCAAATATATACTATCAATTTTTTTTAAATTTAAAAACAACACCCCTAATTTGCAAGAAATTTCTTAATAAGGGCAGAGTTGTCGCATGGAAATATAATTGCAACAAATAAATGAGATTGAGTTTTCTTTGATCATATTATTGCTCAAAGAATTCAAGAATTTCTATAAATTCTTTTTAAATATTATTTTAAATAAAGCTTAAAAGAATATAAAAATAATCCTTACCTTTATAAAATAGCTGTGAGGTCTGATCCGCACAGAAAATATTTGAAAACACCATAACAAGAGAAAGTATCTATCCGTATGTTGATCGTGAAAAGCACACACAAAATGTCCCGAAACTGTTTACACGGCACTTTTCAGCACATTACGAACGGATTCCTTTTTTTTTTCTATCAAAACAAATCACACATTAACATCCAATATAGTTTACATATTTATTACCATCAATACTAAGTCACTCTTTAGTTTGAATTTTGCGAACACAAAACTGTAGTAATTTTTTAAAAGAAAAAAACAGCAACACAAATAGGGTGTAATGTATTCCGGAAGAAGCTGTAATGATTGTGTCGGTATGCTTAACGGTAGATGAAAAAAGCGGTGGCGCAGGTAGTGTAAAAGAAGCCGAAGAAATGAATAGGGTTGCCAGACAGGTAAGAAAAAACTTTTTTTATCGCCAATATTTTGTGAAGGAAGTATTACCGAGCAATACATAATTGAATTAGCGCACGCTCGTGTGATTATGTCTGTATTTCCATGTCTAGTGTTCTTGTTAATTAGTTTCTAAAACTAAATGAATGAAATCAGTTTATTTTGTGATAGAAATATCTTAAGTGATAAAATGTCTGTTGTTTAATTAGGTTAAACATTCGGAAAACAATTGAAAACGCTTAACTACAAAATAAAGAAGAAAAAGCTCTTTTTAGTTTAATTGTAAAACTTAAATAATAGACTATTGTTTAGTTATTCACCATAGAATTTAAATTATTTGTAAATATTTGTGATTTGAAATTCAAAAGCATATCTGTTACATTGGAAGCTCAGGGTGGATGTTTTTCTTAGGGTCGCAAAATAAACATGGTGTTCCACGGAACCCTAGGGTTCCGTAAAAGTGCTAAAAATCTTCCGAGAGAAAAGACTTTTATCTCATTTATTTATTAATATCTTTTTATTTTTTTATATTTTTAAAATCTGTAATAATGTTTAGATCCAATGAATAATCCATTATTTCTTAAATATTTAGGTTGCCTTTATGAAATCATTTAAAGTAAAATGGCATTAAACAATTACAGTTTATCATAATTTTTTACCGGCATTTTACTTTAGTAATATTTTTAAAAAATATATATATATATTTATAATCTTTCTGATTATAATGTACTGAATAAGTTACGGAAAGGGCAAGCATTTAGAAAAAAAAAAATTTCTTTGTATTTCCCATTGCGCTTTTTGAATCAAAATAAATTAACTAAATTCGTTCATAAATAAGTTTTTTTCCAAAAAATAAAAGGAAAACATTTTTAACGTTCATAACAGTTTTTTTAGCATTGATTTCAACGAAAACTTTATATTCTAAAAATAAAGTTTTTTCTTTTTCTTATCAGTTAAAACGTTTACAATTTTCATAGTATACGCAATTTATAAAGCCGGGGTGTTCCGCCAAAAGAAGTGTTTTCCATAGAGGAAAAAAAATTCGAACAACTAATTTGTATTATTTTGGTAATTATGTTTGTAAGAGTTGTTGATCGAACTAGCTTAAATTTTAGGAAATTCTTTCTACTGTAATTCATAACATTTTGCACCCGTGAGTCTCTCTCAGCGCTTAAAAAAAATGAAAATCTCAACTGAAATTTACAAGACTAAACTCAATAGTTAATAATACCTGAGTCAACTAAATATATTTATGTATTCTCTTCTTCTTTAATGGCACTACATCCCAGGGTGGGCCTTAGTCAACGGCACAATTTTTCTCCTAACAGCTCTGTCCTTGATTTTGATCTTCAACTTGGAGATTTTTAAAGTTTTTCATCCATCCACACTTTCTTTGGTCTGCCTCCTGGCCTATAGCATATGAGCTTCCAATGCAAGATCTTTACCACTTGATTGTCTGGTGATCTCTCAAGGTAATCAATCCATGAAAGCCTCTGTTCTTTGATGAATTTTGCAGCTTTTCTATGCTTGACAAGAGCTTCCAGCTCATCGTTAGTTCTTATTCTATAGTAGCTTTTAATTGGCTATGCTGGGCCAGAAATTTTTCTATCAAAATTTGGTAACTAATTTATATCTTTTTGTGTCCAAGTCCAAGTCTCTCCGCTATTTGTCCTCACGGGACGGTGGATTGTTATGTAAATTTTAAGTTTAATTGCTCTCGGTATCAATTTATATTTTTAACAGATGCTGATAAGAAAAATAGCATCAGTTCCCTTTTTTGGGTTCTGCAATTAATTTCTTCTTAAATTGTATATGAAGTGTTCATTATATATTTATTTCTTGAAACACATAAATGCACAGGTTTGTGAGCTCAATACAAAGAACGGCTTATAAGTCCTTGTCAAATTGAAGTACAGGCAGCACAATGTATGAGGGAAATTCATGCTATAGCAGAACAGTGAGTCTGAGAGATCTAAGAAAAATACAGTAATTACTAATTATTTAGATGTAAAGCTTTTAACATTCAGTACTGCCTCGGTTGAATAAAAATGCGTACAGTGGAGACGTTAAAGTAATTATTAAAGAAGTTAGATCCATATAGGCACCAAAAAAAAGTTTTGTTTTTTTTAAATTTAAAGGTGAAATATTTTGATGAAATTCGTTTCCTCGAAGAAGTGACGATAGTTATTTTGTCACTTTGACAAAAGTTTTGCTCGGAGCATATACTAGGAAACGGTTTGTCAAAACCAAAGAAAGTTTCGTAATAATCGCGTATCCATTTTTAAAAGTGAAAATTCGATTAAAATTTATTCAGTGTATTCACTTACGTTTTTGTGCACTATACATATTTACTTATGCCATGTTAATAATTCTTACTTGCTACAACACTGTAATGGATTTCAGCGTTTTGTGGGAAAACTTCTTCTAGTGGTATAGTCAATGTTTTTAAGCATGATTATTTGGTCAGACAACAGAGATGCCAACTGCTACGAATTCGACAAAATATTTTAATAAAACCGGTAAAGAACCACAAACTAAAATTTGCAGATTTTCGGCTAATTTTGTTGACTTTATACAAGGCTCAATTTGCTTAAGTATGTTTTATTGGTACAACATACATTTGCAGGCTTGTGTGCTGAATTAAGACTTATAAGCCTTTGTCAAGTAGAAGGACAGATAGCACAACTCAGAGAAAGACATCATGAAGAATACATTCAGGGTTATGGTGGGATTCGAACCCGCCACCTTCACGCTTAACAGAGCGTTTGGCGGGAGACAGCGCTCGGTCAGGATGCCCCTGTTTAAGTATGACAAAGTGGAATATTACATAAGCCATTGAATTATTTAAAAGTAGTGGTCAGTGGAAACCCTATGAGTAGAATTTACTATACCAAGAATCATACTTTAAAAGACTACGACTGAAAAATATTTTCCCGCTGTCCAGAAATGTTAGTTTCTCTGAATCAATTTGATTTAAAATTATTCTTCATACCACTTCATGAGAATGATTCAAAATTAGAATTAGAAAAATACTTTTGACCAGTTCTCTCGTTGTCGAAACTTTTAAATTGTTCGTAAAATTAGCCGAAACTCAGAAAAAATTAATTTTGATTGTATACACTCAATAGAATATTTTGATATAGCGTAGTAGCTATATGCTTTACGATCAGATCTAATATAAGTTTTTTTTTAAATTACATGGTAGAGAAGATTAACTTGTTTCTTCAACAGGGCTGCCAACTACTACGCTATTTGCAAAATATTTTATTGTGTGGTAGACAATTAAACACTACATACAAACTTTTAGTAATATTATTAACATTTTAGAAGGCACCCCACAACGGAGTTAAAAACAAAATAGTTTTTGTATAAGCTTTCGAATCATTTACAAGTAGTGATGTGAAAAATAATTTAAAATCAAATTTATAAAAGAAAAAATAATAATCAAAGCATAAATTTAGCTACCACTAAAACAAATTTTTCCAAAGAGCATAGAAGGTTGGCAGGCCTACTTCGATATAAATCATAATTAAACGCTATGTTGGCAACCTCTTTCATTTTTAGAAGAGGAACTGTCACTTTAACCGGTTAACGCCCAGCGTCATATATTTAGGACAGTTCCTTTTTTCAAAAACATTCATTGTGGTGGGAAACTTTTTTCTGCATTTTCATTTTTCTGGGTGAATTAAAAGATTCTCAGATACCACAATGATTTAGTTATTTCTGATTAGATCTAGAATTATAAGGAGCAAGTACTTTTTGATCTATCAAAGACTTTTTGAATGCCCTAACAGTAGAAAAAACAATTAATCTCGATAATACATTATACCACTTTTTCCATAAAACCACTTTTTGTATCATTTCAATATATAAATACGGGACAGTACGGGTTAAAACAACGCTAAGCACATTTGGTTGAAAGGATGACTTCAAATATGCTAATTAATTGGTACAAACTATTAAAATACAGAATCAAACGCATTAACGGACTTTTCTTTAAATAATTTTATCTTTTCAACAACTTTGGGTTACTGACGCAATCTGTGAAACGAACAGTGTAGCAGTGGGAACTTATGTTAGTTTCACCATTTGCTTATTTTGCAATATTTGGGTCATTTTTTAAACAAATCAAAGGTCTTTTTCGTTCGTTTAGTCAATAATTTTTAATAATTATAGATTTTTCATTGTTTTATTTAAAACTGCTCTCAAAAACATTTTGCCGGGTTTCGATTTGTAGCGGCTTTTAAAAGCAATCAATCTCCTACAAAGCATTATCCAAAACTTTTATCAGTTAAGTGTGGACCTCAATTTTCGAATTCTTTCATAGAGAGTAGAATAATCTACAGGGAACGTGTACACACGTCGAAAGCAGGCAAATTGTCTTTTTTACAAATTTTACGCGGAACAAGCAATCGCGAGGAGTCCTATTATAAATTTTACGAATCAAGCAAAGACAAAAGGTCCTATATATAAATTTTACAAACTAAGCAATGGCAAATGGTCCTATTATTTACTAAGCAAGCAGTGGCAAAGAGTCCTATCATAAATTTTACGAACCAAGCTATTGCATATGGTCCTATTCTACATTTTATGAACCAATCAAAGGCAAAGAGTTCCTACTACAAATTTTACGAACCAAGCAATGGCAAAATGTCGTATTAATTTTACGACGAAAGCAATGGCAAAGAGTCCGACTATAAATTTTACGAACCAAGCTATTGCACATCGTTCTATTCTACATTTCATGAACCAATCAATGGCAAAAAGTTCTTAGTACAAATTTTACGAACCAAGCAATGGCAAAATGTCGTATTAATTTTACGAGGAAAGCAATGGCAAAGAGTCCGACTATAAATTTCACGAACCAAGCTATTGCATATGGTTCTATTCTACATTTAATGAACCAATCAATGGCAAAGAGTTCCTACTACAAATTTTACGAATCAAGT